AGCAGGAATTTGGGGGGAGACAGGGAGCAGGTAGCCATCTGAGCAGACGAGACACTAAAGGCACCGTGTATTTATTGCTCAGGTGTTTTTAACACTGATTTTTCAAATGCATGAAGCCTGCAGCGAGTCAAGATAACCCAACAGCTCTTTGCTCATCTGCACCACGTACAATCTTCACCTCCATCTTCAGTTCAGTCTCCTGGAAATTAAAAGGTGCAGTGGTACAATTCAATTTGCATCACACTATCATTTTTTATTTTCAGGGCAGCTTCAGCTCTCGAGCCTTTATGCTGCGTGTTGAAATTCCCTGAAACAACTCCATAGCTTCATGCACTCCTAAAAGGAAGAAAGGGCAAGGGTGGGATTACCTGCTCTTGAGCAAGGAGGGTTTCAAATCAGGCTGGGAGTTAGACACGATGGGACATCTCCACCGCTGTAGGTGTAATTAAATGGTACAGGCTCTGCTCCGTACACGTGCAAACTCCAGCGCATAATGAGAATCTAATAGCAGTAGCAGTTACAGCCAAAATCAGACGGTGGGCTGTGTAAACTGCCCGCGTGCACGGTGTTGCCAAAACAGCTTAAGCTTGGCCTGCAAGCACCCCTTTCCAAATTCCCGCCGGCAGGCTCGCTAGCCGGGTGGTGGTTCTGTTACGCAAGGATAAGGACAGAAAGCACCAGCCGTGGGAGGCAGGCATCCTCAGATACCGCTTAGCCAACAATCTGCATTTGGGATTGCTGCACAAGTGGTAAATACCATCTTAAAATGTAAAAGGTTAGTTTTAAGAATGGGTTTCTGCTCATCCAAATGGCCCGTAAGCTCAGCGTCCTCTCTCAGTAAGTTACAAAGGCATCGGTCAGATCCCCTTCAGGTGCTTTGTAAAGCTGAAACGTAGATGTCCCTGAGCTATTTACCCAGATTTTCTCTGGAGGAAGAGGCACACCAGGGGAGAGACTCCTCTGAGGATGGATCACCTTTTAGCTGTGTCCACCTCTCAGCCCAGATGACATGCTGCCATCTTTAGCGCCCAGTCCTGCATAACTGATGTGTAAGGGTGTTGTAGCATGGAAACAGGATCTCAACTTCAGAAACACGTTACGTGACTTGGAAATTACCAGAATTCAGTTGTTCCTGGAAGAAGTTTCATTTTTATAGTGTTTTAGAGTAGACCTGACATAACCAATTCTGCATGAGCCACGTCAGGCAGACAGTCAGCACTGCAGGCGTTTCTGAGGACGTGCTTGTTTAAGAAGAGCGCACCGCTGTTTCAGAACTGAGCTAACGTGCCTCTGCGGCGCTGCTGTCACCCCAGGTTTTTGGGATGAACCACGAACACGTAGGCCTTTAAAAGTTTACATAAGATGACAGCAGTAAACAAGCACCGTCACTGCACGGCTTTACAGAAACGCGAGGTGAGCGAGTTCTGCCACGAACGGCTGCGGGAAGGCTCTGCTGGCTGAGCTGCTCGTCCCTGGCCTGCAGGGAGGCGGCTGGGCCGCGGCCCATCCTCGGGCTGGCGAGAGCACCCCGGGGAGCTACGTCTCAAGGACCTGGAGCTGAGGGTACTGTCTGAAGTGTTTTTAAGAAAAAAAAAATAAAGCCTTGGCATTGTACAGAAATGCAGATCCAGTTGATCCAGTAGCCAGTCTGGCTCAAAATACAGTTCTGTCAGGGCCACTGCAAGGGCAGTGAGTCGCCTGGGCCGGGGTAAGAGGCTGAGGACTTAAGCCAGACTCAGTGCCAAAGGTGAGGTAGCGCCCGCACCTCCGAAAAGCAAGCCTATCACCACCGTACCCGAGCCCGCTGTCTTGGGGCCCGCACCTCTAGCAGACTACTCTATGGATTGACAACTCAAGTAAGTTTGAAAACAGCTGGGCCAAACTTTCTGTTTGGATATTCTTGAATTCTGCTAAGTATCTGCCACATTACAAGAAACAGCTGTGCTACGGCCGTGCGCCGACCGGGTGATCCCTGCCTGCTCCCTGCATATCTAACTGTTGTGTTGCAATGCTTAATTCATACGGGTGCTTAGAGTTCCAGCTGAAAGGTGGGAGATAAGTGGAAACGCATAGTTGTAATTGTTCGCCTACGCAGAAGTGCCAATGAAAGGAAGAAGTATAGCCAAAACCCATCGGCTCTGACAGCCGAGCGCTGAGGAGGTGGGATGGATGGCTGTACGACAGGGAACCCTTTCCTGGTGGGGTCGGTATCTGAAGCTAATGCACAAAACTACATCGTTATCTGAAGAAGGCCAAGCTATGACCATTTGTCAGAGGACAACATTATCACGTCTGGCAGGGCTGGCTCTTCCCTGGGCCAGGATTTCACAGGCATTAATCACCTACTCCTCCACAGCGGGTGCTTTTCCCAGATTATGCCTTGACTAGCAGGCAAACACAAGCCTGCGCGCCCTGGCGCTGGAGGCAGCCGCCCCACGTGGTGCTCACGCCTTTCGGCATACCCAGGGCCGCTGGTTTTGCTGGAAGGGGAGCGAGGGGTCCCTGCCCGTAGGTACGCGTGGGTGAATATTACTCAGTTCTGAGGTGTTCACTTTTTAACTCTGAATTTAAATAACCTGTGCCTGGACTTTGAGAAACAAAGTAACTTGCAGCCATCGCCCAAGACTGCGGTTTTGTAAAGCAGATAAAGTCAAAACAGGCGAAGCGCTCATTTGCCTTTTGAGAAGGCGCAAACACACGATAGAAAGGCTGAATGTGGACAGCCGGGATGGCAGAAAATCCCCAGCCAGGAGATCCCTGTGTTAAAGCACTTATTGGTGTTGCTGACAGAAAGACGTTAAGATGCCTTTGGATTTTGAGAGCGATGGAGACAACATCAGGGGAGAAAACAGCGGTGAGAGAAATGCTACATGAACTCTCCTCAGAGCCTCTTATGTAGCTGGGCCTTTAGGAGACTCAGCAATCGTCTGAGACAGTTGGAGACAGTGGCTTGGCCGGAGATGAAGGGAAGAAAGCCACAGACGCTGAACAGTGCATCACAACGCAGCTCGCAGCACAAACTTGCTGTGCTCGGCTTTTTTTTCAAGGGGCCTCTTCCTGACCCAGCTCTCTGCAAGGCTGTTATTAAAATCTTAATTCAACTCCTATTGGGGATCAGGTGGTGTTAGAGAGCTCTTCCTCCTGACACGGCCTGCGGTGGGGCAATACCTGCCTCGGCGTGGGGCTCTGCCGCGTTCCCTCAGCAAGGCCGCGCTGCAGCGCGACCGGGCCGCTGCCGGGGGCGCGG